CGACGAGTTGAGGGACCAACTCGGCGAGTTGAGGCAACCAGGATGTTGACTTTGACCAAGATGTTGACTTTGACCTTGACCGTTGACCAGAATTGACCCTTACAGAGGTTATGAGTATGAAAGAGTAATTAAAAGAAATTTTATGTGTAGGAGTTTGAGAAGAGTTGATCCAGGAGCCGAGGACAGTACAACTACTACACGACACTCGAGGTGAGTTACCTTCCAGTAGAAGTGGGTCTAAGGCCACAATGCCTGCCCACTAGTAGGAGTTGTCTGTTAGATGACTATCTTTGTGATAATCGTCTGGTATGCCACTATCTGTTATGTGCTAGTATGGTATGATGTCATGTGATAGTGGTAGTACGGGGAATAGTCCCCGTATCCGGTCGAAAGGACCAAAGGGGTAGGTCGGGCACCCCGGTATGCCTGAGAGTATGTTTATGTTATGTTGTTATGTGGTAGTGGTAGGGGGTGAAATAGTCCCCGTAACAGGTTGAGATAAACCGGAGGGGTAGGTCGGACACCCAGATATGCCTGACAGGGTAGGTCGGACACCCCGATATGTCTGACAGGGGTAGGTTGGGCACCTCGGTATGCCTAACAGGGGTAGGTTGAGCACCCCGGTATGCTCAACAGGGTAGGTCGGGCACCCAGATATTCCTGGCGGTATGTTTATTGTATGGTATGTGGTATGATGGGGGAAATCACTAAGTTTTGTGCTTAAGGTTTTCAGTTTTTGTTTTTCAGGTCCTCTTCTTCGAAGGGAAAGGAGCCAGCACGGTAGCAGCGCGCATCACACACACGATTTTCCGCATATGAGATTCTTGGGATTTGTAATCTGACATTTTTATTATCTAATGACATGCTTTTGAGACATATGATCTATGGTTTTTTTGAAATAAGATAACTTGATGTTGTTTTCTATAAAGTGTTTTATGAATTGTTAAATCAAAAATGAAATTTTTGGTCTTGAATTTTGGGATGTTACAAGTTGGTATCAGAGCCTTGGTTTGAGGGATTCGGACACACCTTCGGGGGTTTCTGGACTCAAATCGAGAGTTTGAAAGATTTTTCAAGAAAATAGTTTTTCTAAAATTTAAAATAAAAGGTTTTGAGAACGAACAAGGTGTGTGATGCGTGCAATCGGCCGAGCTCAAGTAAGTTTTCCCCAAGATATCCATACATGTTTGTTATGATATGTGATATGTAACAAACCGTTATTTCTAACCTATGTAATAACGTAGGTCAACTTGTAGTTCTTTTTAAAATAATAAAGAGAAATTTTAGCATACTGTGTACATTTACATAATTGACCCTCAAAAATAAAGTATTAAACAATCTCGAATGGGATGAACAAAATGGTAGAGAATGTAACAAGGTTTCCAAAAATATAAAGAACACTAAAATCTGAGTTATAACGAAGAAGTTATGACCAATCAAAGATCCGCGACAAAACCGGCAAAACACTGTTCAGTGTAAAAAGTGAATTTTCAATAAAAGGCTTTTTAGCCATAACAATCTAAACGAAAGTTGTAGAATATGATAAACCGAGAACTTTCATAAAAAGAACATCAAAATCTGACTTCGTATGAGGAAGTTATGATTTTTTCTAAGTTTTAGTATAGTAGTATACAGCTAAAAACTCGAAATAAAGATCGAGTGATTTTTAGCCGACACAAACTAAACGAGAATTGAAGGTCTCATCAATATTAGTACAACGGTAAAAAGACAGACAAAAACGGACGTTGGATGAAGAAGTTATGAATTTTTAACGGATTTTCCTGTCCCGGTCTGTTAAAAATAATAATATTAAAAATAAATTCAAGATTAGCCGACGAAGTCTAAACGAAAGTCGTAGAGTATAATTTTACCTACGCGTGGATATAAAGAACATCGAAAACGGAGCTCGTATGCGAAAGTTATGAATTTAGCAAGTTTTGGGCATGAAAATCGAGAAATGTTGAAAACCGGGAAAAATCGCATGGTGCACCTTCGGCCACGTCACCTCGCATGCGAGGCTTTCTCGTATCCTCCCCGCGTCAGCTTCTGATTGGACCGAAGTCGTGGTCCAGTAGCCATCCGACACCCCTCGCAAGAACACACCACCGTGCTCGGACCCGTGCCTTCTTCTGATTCGACCGAAGTCAGGTCCACTCTTGATCCGACACGTCTCGCCAGCTGTCCGAAGCGAGCCCTCCACCTCGCCACCTGTCCGAACACGCGGCTTCTTCTCCTTGCTTCGGATCCGAAGCTTCGGCCTATATATATGGTGCGAGACTCTCCAGATTTTTCACATTTTTCACCCCATTTTCCATACTTTTTCACTTCTTTCACCACTTTAAAATTTCCTACAACCCCTAAAGCCCCGATATCAACTCTAAAACCCTAAGCAAGCCTCGAAGCCCCGATATTCCCGAGAGAAACAACTTTCTCTAGTCGAAACTCTGCCCGATTAAAGCCGGTTTTTCTTCAAATAAACTCCTTTCCAGAAAACGAAACGCTGTCCAAATCACCACCTATCAAGTGAGTTCATACCCCCGTATTTTCATAATTTCTACTGTTTTAAGGGGGGGGGGGGGGAATACAAGTATAACACAAGAACTTTGTGTTATAAAATCATGATTTCAAATCATGATAAAACGACATTAAATCATCAAAATATTCTCAAAACATTAAACTCTATTGTAAACTTATATTTTTCCCCAAAATTCATACTGGTATATATATATTTATGTAAACAAGAGTTAAAAGGCTTAGGACTAATAACTCATTATGGGTCTTTTTCCTTGTATGGATGTGGGCTTATAGTACCGGTTATTTGTTCGAATGTCGTTTAAATTTTACTTATATATAATTATATATGTATATAAATATAAAAGTTATTTCATTTAGTTTAAATACCATTTGTAACATGTTGAGCAACAGTTTAAACACCTACAAAGCGTTTGTTTCAGGCCATCCAGTCATATTATGGTTATAATAACTCATTAAAAAGATATTAACAATACGTTAGTGTATAATCAACTAAACGTAAGTACACCTTCAAAGTACCAGTTTACAGAATACAAACTACAATAGTACAATACAGTTTTCAATAACAGCTGGTGAAACCAGGCACACTCTCAGTTACAAGTTTTACATAAAGGAATACAAATACAAAACGTTGATTTACAAATAGAACGGTTTTATGGGAATAAAACTACTTTTCATACACAACAGAAAATATAGGATTTTCTGGAACAGTTTACATATGCAAGATACAGAGACATCCTTTCAAACATAAACACTTATGCACTCACTCAACTTTATGTTGATACTCTCTTTTCAAATTACTTGTATTCTCAGAGAAATAATAAACAGGTACTCCCCGAGCGTTTTGAGAAGATGGAGCTATTTTGAGTCATATCTTCTTCTTTTGTATAACAATTTTTGGTTTCAATATACAATGATTGAACACATGTAAATAACTTATACTTTTTCAATACAATGGTTGTTTGTACTTTGATTGCTATGATACATGTGTTGTGATACTACAAATGAAGTCCTCCACCCCCGGACGTTTCCGCCGTCTGGTTTGGGGGTGTGACAGATTGGTATCAGAGCATTGTTTATAGTGAACTCAGTATATCAATCCATAAAAGATATACAAACTATAAATATATCGGGGCTAAAGAGCTCTGACTACAAGTATACTTTTTAAAACTTTAAGTATTTTTACAAGAAGTATACTAACACTCATACCTACAAGTATAGTATCACAATCATAAGAACTTAAAAGTATTTGAATGTTGAACATTATAGTCAAACCTGGGCAGTTATGTAATCATATCTGGGATTAATATAGCCTGATCAACTATATTGATTTGAGATATGACCAACATGTGTTTGGGAGTGATAGTAGTGTTACGACATGTCTAAACTTATCAACCATACGTATTCAGAAGAACTATAGAACAGAACACAAGATTAAAATACTATGGGAGTATTTTACTATCCTTACTTCTAATAAAGACAAAATGGCTGAACACAATTTACCTGGGGACCCCTACCATCAACAAGGTGCAGGCTATTCAGACTCAGATGAAGAACCCTTTGAAGACAGTGAATCAAGTGGTACAGATACAGAACCACAAGTCTCACTACTAGAAAACAGCCCTTTAATGACACGCAAACAACGACACACGCTGACAGAGGACACGCATTTGTGCGTGCCCTAAAAAATAATGCCAGCTTTGCAAAATGTGAAGGATAGAAGACACACATTTTTTGCGCGCCCTAAACTTAATGTCCAAAAAAAAAGGAAAACACGGAGGGCACCTACCATAAAAAGCGTATCGTGTAAAGATGTCGTTTTATATTTTTTTTAGGAAGGCGCGTTCTCGCTTTTTTTTCAATCGGCGATGGTGGGAAATGAAATCCCAAAAAATTAAACACCCGCCTAATGCTTCTTCTCCTTCTACAATCCTCTAACAAGGAACCCTAATTCTGGCCCTAAGCCGCCATCACCAGCATCACCAGCATCGAACCCCAAAAAATTAAACACCCGCCTAAGCCCGTCTTCCTGTACCTTGATCTGCACTCTCTCTCCCTTCTCTTTGCAAGCCCTAAGCCGCCATCACCAGCATCGAACCCCATCAGCTCTAAGCGGCCATGGATTCTGTAAAGAGTGTTTGTCTCGTATGTTTTCATCAGCACCATCAGACACTACTCTTCTCTATCCACGATGTCGCCAAGTCTCCGTATGTTTTCATCAGCGCCATTCGACGAAAAGAACTAGGGCTTTGAACCACATCTCAATAAATTGTTCAGAGAGATCCATCGGCTCCTCTCACTCAAAACACCTTCGATTGAAGGTTATGTGACTCCTTACTCTCCTCATTCTCTCCTCGTCGTTGTCGTATGTCGCCCTCCCTCGTTGTCTCCTTCTATCTCTGCCCTTCTACTTCTCCCCTGAACATTCTTAAAAGTAACAATAAAGGTATTTGGTTTACTGAAGCTGGATGTCCAATCTCAACGATAAAGTAGCGATGCGTCACATGGACGTATACATGGAACAAGAAGAGAAGTATACTGAACCTGTTTTAGCAGAAACCGATCGCCTTCAATCCAAACTCCAATCAGAAATGGCATCTCGCATGTCTTCTCAGCTCTCCACTCCTCCATTTCGCTGGGGGCCCTGGTACCTTCAATTTCCATTTGCACTTCATCTGAAGCTTGTTGATTTCTTTTGGATCCGAATTCAAATTCTGTGTTCTTCTTTGGCAATTTGGAGGTGGAATTCAGGTTGTGTTATAGGAGAGTAGAGGAAGGGAAACAATACCCAGTACTCTGTAGGAGATTAGCTAGCCTAAACGAAGAGTTCATTTAACATAAAAGTCCAACAGGTGGGTTCGATTTGATCTCCGGGAAGAGGATTGAACAAAAACTCATCGATTACAATCAAGAAGCAGAAAGATTTGGGGGTAATTCCAATTCCAATATCATTTCAACATCTCTCATCAATCTCTAATTCTCTTCCACTTCATTTAATCTATTAACATGACTTGATTTAGGTTATGCATATGAAGAGGTATCAGAAGTCTCACCTGATCATCGATTCATTGCATACACCATGTATGATAAAGACAACGATTTCTTCAAATTATGTGTTAGAGATTTGAATTTAGGTCCTCTCTGTAGTAAGCCACAAGCTGATTGGGTATGTAATGTGGCATGGGCTAAAGGGGGTCAAGCATTGCTATATGTTGTCACTGATAAAAAAAAGAAGCCCTACAGGTATCCTATATAATTATGTACAACTTTTTCTAATTTCTATATCTCATATTTAATTTAAACTTTGTATATATCTTGTATGATTTTAGGATATATTGTAGCATGCTTGGATCAAAGGATGAAGATGTGATACTCTTAGAAGAACCTGAAGAAAATGTTCATGTTAACATCAGACATACAAAGGATTTTAAGTTTGTGACTGTTTATGTGTTTTCAACCACATATTCAAAGGTATTATTATACTCTTTATGGGTTTCAATTCTTTTATTTCATTTATTTTTCTTTCAAGAATCATTCAAACTTCAAATTCTTTAGGTTTTTCTAATCAATGCAGCTGATCCTCTCTCTGGTTTAACATTCGTGTGGGAATGTGAAGCTTGTGCACATTGCATTATCGAGCATCATCACTCTTCAAGTCCAAGAAAGTGGGAGGTTAGACTTTCTTTTGAGATATGTTGTTTTTTCTTAATGAAAAAAAAGACTTTCTTTTTACCTTTTTTTTAAATGTTACGGAATGTATTTATTGATGACAATGACTTGGTGATTGAAGATGTTGACTTTTGTGACTCACATTTGTTGATTCTTTGAAGGTATAATGCCCTTATTCAGGCAACAATTAATGTGAAAAAAAGAAAGAATTCACCTGTTGATGATGAAAAGCATGTGGAACCTGTGGTTGATGAAGGTAATGCATAGTATTTGGGGTTCATACTTTAGATCTTTTATCCATTAAGGCATATTTCTATTTTCATTTAGTAACATATAATGTCAATGGCAGCTCTTCAATTATATTCGGTGCTAAGATACAACTGAGTGATTCTAAACATCTTTTATTTATTTTTTGTTTTATTTTTGATTCTTGATCCTGCTCCCGCTTAAGTTTATTTCTCGACTTTCTTGGTGAACTATTTAGAAGTAAGAAGATACATAACACATGGAATCATAGTGATCTTTTGATTTTATTTGCAGGCTATTATAAAAGAGAAGACCTTACAACAGAAGTCCTAGTTGATGGCTGGTTCCATACAGGTATATAATTTACAATAAAAAAAAATCTTAACTTATATTATTTTATGGTTTAGGTGATATTGGTGAGTGGCAACCTGATGGAAGCATGAAAATTATTGATCGCAAGAAAAACATATTCAAACTCTCACAAGGAGAATATGTCGCTGTTGAAAATCTTGAGAATGTATTTGGACTTTTTCCTGATCTTGATTTGGTCCATTACTTAAAATACTCACAATTTCAACTTATTTACCTAAAAAGCCATTTAAGACGTTACTTAATTTATGGTTGGTATTTTAGATATGGATCTTTGGGAACAGCTTTGAGGCGTGTCTTGTTGCTGTTGTGAATCCAAATAAGCAAGCAATTGAACATTATGCTGAAGCACATAACATTTCTGGGGATTTTGAAGCTTTATGTGAAAATCCCAAAATTAAAGAATATGTATTGGGAGAGCTCCCTAAAGCCGGAAAAGAAAACAAGGTTCTTTTTCTGTTTTTCTTTTTTTCTTTTTAACTAATTAATGACTAACTATTTTATCCCTTATTTGCTTCCGTGAATTAGTAATCTTTAATTTTAATTTTGTAGTTGAAAGGTTTTGAATTTGTGAAAGCGATCCACCTTGACCCCGTTACTTTCATAGTGATAATGAAAGCTGTTACGGGTTTTTCTGAGTTATTCCCTCATATGTTACAGGTGATTCTTGAAAACTTTATATTACATTTTTAAATTCTAGATTGGAACTACTAAGGGGCTTATAAAATTCTTACTTTTTGTTTTAAGTGTAGGAGCTTTAGATATGGTGAACTTTGGTGCTAAGAACACCATACCTATGAATTTTCAACAGAGGAAAATATATGAACACAATGAACAGGTATCTATCTATCTATCTCAGTGGCATTTTTGTAAATAGTCAGCAGTTAATGTGAAAGCCTTGTTTTCTTGACTTTTCTTACTAAATCAAAAAGAAATAATGATATAAAGTATGATCATTAGGTAGTGGAGTAGAAATGTAAAGCCTCTGATAAATTTCTTTATGACAAAAATACCCTCATTGTGTACATGTGTCATTGATGCGAACCATAGTGGAGGAATTACCATAAATAGGCATCTCTACTTTAGATGCCCATGGAAAGCCTTTATATGATACAAATGCTACCGGTGATCTTATATAAGAATTAAATAGACTTATTGAGCCTACAGAAGATAGGAAGGTTAGTTTCATAATTAATCAAACTATGTTACCATTTATGGAACTCTTAAAGCAAAGGAACTATTTATTCATTTACTTAGTACCGATTAGTAACGATTTTTACATCGGGTGCTTTAATTTAACTGGAGCCTTCACTTTTTTTGTCAGGTCATTACTTCGTGAGATTTATGATGGCCAGGTGTTTATAAAGCTTAAGAAGGGTTATGCTTTTCCTGCCATGGATCCATGGGTAACCTCTCTTCTGCATATCTTTCCTTTAGATGAAATGTTTATACATTTACATCTATATATGCAGCACCATTTGGTCACTTTTTAGGGATTATAAAATCTATGTTTCAAGTGTTCTCATGTGTTGCCCAGTTTCTGCTTTCAGGGAACAAGTGATCCTTATGTGGTTTTGCAATTGGATAGTCAGATTGTGAAAAACAATGTTAAATGGGGGTGAGTATATTCAATGTGGTCTCATTCTTCTTGTATCTAGCTTGTGTTTTCTGTGATGGAAGACAAATAAATGTACTTTCTACTCTTAACTTGTCAAAGTATACTACATACATGTAACTTAAGTAGTGAATTAGTCTTTTCTTTAAATGTTTTTTTTGTCAGGACAAAGGAACCAACTTGGAATGAAGATCTCACATTATACATCAAGCATTCGCCAACCATCGATCTTCAGGTTATCAATGCATTTTAAGTGGATAATTTTAGTATCCACTTTATGTCTTATTCCTAGTTACCACTAAACAACCTTTAATCTTTTTTCTTATTATGGCACTAAACATCGAATTGAGTAGGCATTTTGGTATTTCAAGTTTAAGATGGTATCATCTTTGTTAGTTTTGCTAATACTTGCATTAGAGATTTTGTTGTGTCATGAAACCATGCATAACTCATTTTGGATCCTCAAAATTTATGTTATGTACCAATTTAACTTCAGGTTGCAGCTTGGGATGCTAATCTTGTTACTCCCCATAAACTTATGGGCAATGGAATTGTCAGCTTGGAGTCCATATGTGATGGTGAGCTTTCTTCTTTTTCTTTTGGATGCTTTAAGTCTTTAGCTTCTTTGCACCTCAAACAAATTTAAAACAAAAACTCAGCATTATGAAGTTAGCACAGGATATTATTCCAATACCCTTGATGTTATATTGTAACGTTTGAAGGATAGCTGCAGTTTATAAATGTATTAATGTCCAGATGGTATCTTATAAACTATAGAAAACAATCTCCACCATAATGTCTCTAAAGCATAGAACCATGTTTAGCAGGAAATTCACATGAGGTGCTAGTTGAATTGGAGGGAATGGGAGGCGGTGGAAAGGTACAACTAGAGGTAAGTTTTTGTGATTAAAAACATTAAATACAATTGGTCATGGAAGCTCCATAAGTCAACAAACCACCTACTTATACCAAAAAAATACTGACCTGACTGATCTAATTGTAAAAAGACATCATCGCCCTCACTAACTAGCTCTACTTAAGCCATGCATGAAAGGACTAGACTACTTGAAAGTGTAACAGGGACACTCCAGAAAGAAAGTTGCTTTTAGTTGAATTGGGATTTGAACCGGTTTAGTTGAAAGTTGCAGCCTCGTGTACATTTCCAATTTTAGTTGATTCTTCTATTTATTATATTAGCATATTAATTTTTAGACTTTTATTTGATCAGGTCACAAGAATTATCGGAGCAGGGGTTCATTAGTCTTAAAGAATTATGAAAGGCAAGATGCAACTCTACTTAGTTGGAATTTGATGTTTATCATCTTTGTGTAGCATTACTTTGCAGCAATATAGTATTAGGTTATATAGTTAGGGAAAACCTCTTAGTAACAAGGTACAATTAGATCCCATTAATATCAATGTATTACAATTTTTTGACATGATGTTATTGGATGAAATTGATTGTTTTAGTATATATTTGTTTACAAAATTTTGTATTATGCGTAAACGAGTATCGTAAAGACGCATTGTAAATGCATATCGTAAATGGTTACTGAAGTTTATGGCATGCAAATTCGTGTCATCTTCATTTATGACAGGGGCTTCCTTGATACGCATTGTGTGTCATAAACACGCACGTCGTAAGGTTACGACACACAAATGCGTGTCGTCTTCCTTTATGACAGGGCCTTCCTTTATACGCATTGCGTGTCATAATTGTGCGTCGTAAATGCGCGTCGTCTATAGACGACGCGCAAAAGCGCATCGTCTCTCTTTATGACAGGGCCTTTCTTGACGCGCATTTGCGCGTCGTCTGAGCGTTTTACGACGCGGAATGAGCGTCGTAAAAGGCTGTTTTTCTAGTACTGTCTACAACCCTGGGGAACGTCCCCTTAGACAAGGCGAAGCAGAACCCATACCCAAGTGGGGCCAATATATAAACCATTGGAGTCGGCAAGACGGCCAACGCCCTCCTTACGGAATAGCAAGAGGTTTCTATAATGTCTCTAGAGGAGGAACAGCCGATAGATCTCTTCCAGTTATAGTAAATCAAATAGCCCGCCAAGCCGATCAAGCAAGGATTTCAATCAATCGAATCCTACAAGTAAATACGGTTGCACAGGTTAACACTGCAGATATCCTTCGTCTTGATAAAATGCAGGACGAAACCCAGCATCATACAGAAGCCTTTCAAAGGCAACTCAATGCTGCTCAATCTGAGATAAGAGAATTGAGAGAGCATCAGGCTGCACTAGAAAGGCGATGGAAAGCACAGGATGAAGCAGGACCCAACAACCGTCGTAGCAACCGCCGCAAGTAGTGTTCGCACTACTTTCTACATTTATATCGAATGTATATACTAATTTTCACGATATGTACAAAACCGAGTATCAATAAAATAATAAGCACTTTACTTCAACAAGAGTTATTACAATTTTCATAAACATCCTATTCCAAAGTTTTGGATTACAGATATGTTCCAATGTTATTTTTCATGCTTTTCAATACGACCGCGAAAATTTTACTTTCGGTAGGTCGGTTTGATGTCGACGCTTTCTCCGTATTGTGGTATATTATAGCCCTGCTTTAAGGTCAAGTTTTCCAGACCATATGTACTTAATATACCAATACAATCGACATGTATTTTCATACTCTTTGAAAAATAACCACTCAATTTCATATTATCCTGTTGCAAGTTGTACTTGCAGTGGATTTCAATTTCCAAATTTTTACAAGATTCATGTTGAATTAAGTGTTTAGTTCAGAGATATCAAATTCATATTCATTCTTGATATCTCACTATCTTTTTATCTATTGACTTTTATAGAAAAAGATGCCTCCTCGTAGAAATCCAAGACATAACAATGTCAATGAAGCACCGACGCCACCTCCACCACCACCTCCTCAATTCGACGCTGCTATGTTTCAAGCAGCGGTCACGGCGGCTGTAGCGGCTGCCATGTCTCATATCAATACTCCTGATGCTAGTGGGTCGGGAGCTGGTGCACATCCTTCTAACCATGGCGAGAGTCATGAGCACTCGCGAGAGTGCACTTATAAAGACTTCTCGAATGCCAAACCCAGGACCTTTAATGGAACCGGAGGAGTGATGGTTTTAAGGCAATGGATTGAGAAGACAGAAGCAATCTTTGAAATTTGCTCCTGTCCGGAGGGTAGCAAAGTTAAATTTGCTGCCTGTACTTTTTTCAGATATGGCCCTAACATGGTGGAATGGCCATGTTAAGTCGCTAACTTTGATAGTGGCTAATACTATAAGTTGGGAGAACTTAAAAACCATGTTGATGCGGGAATACTGTCCGCAAGGGGAAATTCAAAAACTTAAGCAAGAGCTCTGGGGTCTTACCATGGCCGGTGCAGACATAACAACTTACACGAATCGATTCTGTTACTTGGCGATTCTGTGTCCAGAAATGGTTGCTCTGGAGAGAAAAAAGATTGAAAGGTATATTTGGGGACTGTCGCCCCAGATACAGGCAAGTGTCATTGCTTCTAGGCCTGTCACCTTTGACAGTGCCAACGAGTTGGCACAGTCACTTATTGACCACAGAAATCGTCAACACTCTGTGGTTGCTGCTCCAGAACAACCTAAGGAGAACAACAACAACAACAACAAGAAGGGTTGGAACAAGAGGAAGGGCAAATCTCCTCTGGAACCTTCAAAGAAGCAACAAGTAGTGGCAGTCCATGCCGCTACTGTACCTGCTACCATACCTACCACTGTACCTGCTGCTGTCCCTAATAACCCAGCACCAACTAATCCCTATGCTGGTAACCTCCCTAAATGCAACAAGTGCAATTTTCACCACAATGGAAATTTCCAAGAAATGCAGTGCCGTAACTGCAACAGGATAGGGCATACTGCCCGATTCTGTAGAACACCACCTCAACCACTTAACCAATTACCTGCTGCTGGAGTAGGTCGAGCGTGCTACCAATACGGTGATGTGGGGCATTTCAAGAAAGATTGTCCAAAAGCTAGAAATGCCGGTGGAGGTGGGAGGATTCTAGCACTAGGTCACAAAGAAGCGGTGGCAGACCCTGCAGTGGTCACGGGTACGTTCCTTCTCAACAATACTTATGCATGCATTCTATTTGATTGTGGTGCTGAGAGGAGCTTCGTGAGCCATCATTTTAAACATCTACTAAATCAAAATTCTCAACCACTAAATGAAATTTTCACAGTAGAAATGGCTAACGGGAAATCTGAATCCACCAACGATATATACATAGGATGTGCCCTTACCTTGAATGACTTGTCTTTCCCAATAGACCTTATGCCGGTCTCTATCAAAAGTGTTAACATCATAGTAGGTATGGATTGGTTGTGCCCAAACCATGCCGACATCCTATGCTATGAAAGAGCTATTCGCTTGAACTTGCCAACTAATGAAACTCTTATTATCTACAGCGACAAACCCGGAACGAATCTTCAGATCATTTCTTGCATCATGGCACATAAATAACTTCGCAAGGAGTGCTGTGCATTCTTAGCTCACGTGGTAGACAAAAATCAAGAAGTGAAAGACATCGCAAGCATTCCTGAGGTCTGCAACTTTCCCGATATATTTCTCGATGATCTTCCAGGAGTGCCTCCCGAACGACAAGTCGAATTCCGAATCGACTTAATCCCTGGAGCTACCCTTGTAGCCAAATCCCCATATCGTCTTGCACCTTCTGAAATGCAGGAATTATCTAGCCAGCTTAACGAACTTCTAAGCAAAGGCTTCATAAGACCAATATTCTCACCGTGGGGAGCACCGGTTTTGTTCGTAAATAAAATTGGATCATTCTGCATGTGCATAGACTACCGCGAGCTGAATAAACTTACCATCAAGAATCGATATCCTCTGCCTCGCATTGACGATCTGTTCGACCAACTTCAAGGTGCGAAGTACTTCTCGAAAATAGACTTAAGATACGGGTATCACCAGTTACGGATTTTAGAGGAAGACATTCCCAAGACCGCGTTTAGAACTCGTTATGGTCATTACGAGTTTATAGTGATGCCATTCGGATTGACGAATGCACCTGCTGTGTTCATGGATCTAATGAACAGAGTGTGTCGTCCATTCCTGGACAAATTCTTCATAGTCTTCATTGACGACATCCTTATCTACTCAAGAAGCAAAGGGGAACATGGCCAACATCTTCGTCAAATATTACAAACCCTTAGAACAGAAAAACTCTATGCAAAGTTTTCAAAGTGCGAGTTTTGGATTAGGAAGGTTGTTGGTCAGTTCAGAAGGAATACACGTGGACCCTTCCAAAATCAAGACAATTGAAAACTGGCAAGCACCCAAAACACCTACAGAAATCCGACAATTCTTAGGTCTTGCTGGCTATTATCGCCAGATTCATCCAGAATTTCTCCCGAATCGCTAAACCGCTTACCACCCTGACGCAAAAGGGTGTAACTTTTAGTTGGGGAGAGAAGCAAGAAACAACATTCCAAACGCTCAAACAAGCCTTGTGCAGTGCACCGATCTTGTCTCTACCCGAAGGGACAGAGGACTTTGTAGTGTACTGTGATGCTTCAAATCAAGGGCTTGGGTGTGTTCTTATGCAAAGAGGAAAGGTTATCTCCTATGCCTCAAGACATCTAAAGACACATGAGGTCAACTATAC